GGGGGGGGGGGGGGGGTGCTGATTCTTGCACAAGCTTCTTCTAGGATTCCCAGTTATTTTATTCCAAGGAGCACTCTAGAGATTTCCCTAGAGCCAAAAGTTAGGATTCCCCAGTCAGAGGTGTCTAGGCACCTCCATACTGGCCCAGGACAGGTGTCAGGAAGGATGAACACTGTGATGTAAAAACGAAAGCACCAGGCATCCATGCGTGCTGAGTGGTCCCAAGCCCTAGAACTCACTAGAAAGGATGCCCAGCCTACCTGAAGGTGCCTGGCATTTTGGGACAGGTCTGTGGCCACAGGAGGAGTGAGCAAACCAGGAGGAGGACCCAGAAGAGATGTTGAAGCTGTGCCTGTGGGGACAGAGGAGCAATCTCCAGGAACTGCACCTACCATCGTTCAGCACTACAGTCAACTAGGCCAGCAATTTTCAACCTTCTTCATCACGTGACACACAAACTAATTACTAAATTCTGCAGTACACCAAAAAATTTATTTTTTGTCAATCTGACACACAAAAATAGGTATAATTTTTATTCATTCACACCAGATGGTTATTGTCATTTTTTTTTTTAATTTGACAAACAACAATGTGTTGGCTGTTGTCATTTTTTTATTTGACAATCTAAAGCAGCGATTCTCAACCTGTGGGTCATGACCCCTTTGGGGGTCGAACGACCCTTTCTCAGGGTTCACCTAAGGCCATCGGAAAACACATATATAATTACATATTGTTTTTGTGATTCATCACTATGCTTTAATTATGTTCAATTTATAACAATGAAAATACATCCCGCATATCAGATATTTACATTACGATTCATAACAGTAGCAAAATTACAGTTATGAAGTAGCAACAAAAATAATTTTATGGTTGGGGGTCACCACAACATGAGGAACTGTGTTAAAGGGTCGCGGCATTAGGAAGGTTGAGAACCACTGATCTAGAGGAAAAGAGGTCGCTGCCCCTGACTCCGTAGTCAGATACCGCCATGTTTCACCCGCTGCAGCACCCGGTTGAACACCGCTAAACCGGAAGACACGGCAAACTCAAAAGGCAAAGTGGCTCCAAGCAACGCTTCCACGGGGTTTCACTGGCAGCCACTGAAACCGGTCAGCTCCTATTTTCCTAGGCAACATCAGCAGCAAAGTGCACTCCACCAACAAAACCCAAAAGCCCTCTTTTTAAAGACCCAAAGCGCATCTTTCGCAGTGTGAGCCCGGGTGGGGATAAAGGCGATCACCTGAGAAGTTACGTCCCCCTGGAAGTGGGTTGATCCGCTGACGCTTAAACTGGGACATTGGGATTGCGGTCTTCTTTCAGAGTCTCGGGGGGAAAAACCTTCAATCAGAAAAGAAATAGATTAGCAGCTCATAGGGGAATTTTCCATCAACCCCCAAACAGGAATTAAGTATCTTGAGGAGAGTAGGGAGAACAAATGGAGATGGTGGGTGAAGGGAATATAAAGAGCAGAAAATGAATAAACTACATTGTTCCGGTTTGCCCTCACGAACAACCCAGCAGCGGGTCTTGCTGCCATGCCATCTTAAAGAGCAAACTGAAGCTCGGAGACTGACACTCGCCCGAGGCCGAACAACCCGTTAGTGACTACACTGGGACTCACACCCGGTCACCCGACCATTCAGCGCTCCTCTCGCTGGGCCACGCCACCCCAGATGGGTGGGGGCTGGGGGCTGGAAAGAGCCCGGAGACGTTCATTCATTCAAATACATCCGCCAAAATGCTCCACGCAAGGCCCAGAAAAATGAAGGAGGCGGCCGCTAGAGAGAAGATCGCGTGGGTCCTTTCCCCGGAAGCCCGGCCCGCTGCTCCCCACCCCACCCCCCTCCCCGGCCTGGTAGGTAGCGGGGTGGCCCGGCTGACCGCGAATCCGGCTGCGCACCCGCTCTCCCGCTCCCGCGCTCCCGGGCCCTTGGCTCCTGCCTCAGGGGCCG